GCCTGTCGTGAACGCGCAGGCTAGTAAACAGGGCCACCAATAACAGCGGATAAAAAGTTATATGGCACATTCACTAATAGGGACTAAACGTCAACAATATGCTTTACATTGACTATGGCCTGCCCATACTTTGACTACAAACTTGGTCCTCAAATCATTATGTATTTTGCAATAGCCTACATGTAACTTTATAACGTTGCACTCTTTCTATAAGTTATAAATAGCTAGTAAGATAACGTTAATATAACGGTAACTAACGTTACAGTATGTAAGTAATTATTCTAGCGATATATAATGCTAGATAAGGTGTGCTAGTACATTATTTCAGCAACATGACAAGCCAGTGAATTAGCAGGTTTCAATTGTTGCTTAGCAGAGTGCGTGACATTTTATCTACATGTTATGCGGCTAGAGTTTTGACACCGAGTCAATGGGCTCTGTGTAATTCTTTCTTTTTCGCTTGTTTATCGTCATCGGTCTTTTTCCTTTTACCTCTTTGTTTTATGAGCAGGTGTCACTCGAGAATTGGCAGTTTAGGTTGTTTCTCCGTCATAAGCACAGCTGCAGCACGCCGGCAATCTTGAGTTTGAACGACGGCTCGCGCTGTGCAAGAGAGGGGTGTGATCAGCGCGTACACGAGCGTGATTGACACTGCTAAGACATTCCTCCTGGCTCTGATTGGTTGTTTCTGACCGGGAGCGTGTATTTCTTGCAAATGGCAATAGGACCACTGGGAGGAGCCAGAGGAGCTTGATTTTTACACAGATTATCTGTCTCATATTCTACTGTCAGGACATAATGACAGTTTTAGCAAATACATTTTTTCAAAAGTTACCTACAGCAGCTTTAATGAGAATTAGTTATGTAGCTGCAAAGTTAGGCTACTTATTATAGGTAGTGTCTAAAGTTTGGCCTTCGCGGTGTCCTCGGACCTCATGGCCATGTGAACTTCAGAGAGCAATGTTCCCAAGCTCTCCACAACAGCTTTATTGAGTAATTTACAGTATAGAGAGCCATAAAAGCAGCATATGTGCGCATACAGAAGGTCTCTAGCTCTGTTAAGAGGATTTACGATAAGCATCAGAGGACACATTAACTACAGAGAATCCATTAATCGTGACAGCAACGTCATGAAACGTGTGTGTGTGTGTGTGTGTTTTCACGTACGTCTTTATACATCTTTCTGTCTTTCTTAATGTGCGACGATACGCCTGCTTTCTCTGAATCGTATTAGCATGAAAGCCTGCGGACATGTCTGTCCCTATCTGGAACTGTGTGTGTGTAGTACGTCCTGACTGTAGGTCATGTTTCTTGCCGCACTGCTGTGTTCATGCCAGGATGCTCTTTCGGATTTACTGCGCCACAGATTAGCTGCTTGTTGGCGTGTGTGTATCCATGTGAGTGAGATTTATACTGTTATTCCCTCTGATTTATATCACCAGACAGAGTTCTTATGTAATACATCGATTCCTGGGAGGTGTCGCCTGTATCATGAAGGCGGTATGTGTCGTGCTGGCGTCATTAGCATAATCCTGTTCTCTCAGCTCTCACTGTGAACTTTGACATCAATGTGCGACCCGCAGGTAAATCAATGTTTATGAGTGTATGGTGTTTATCGGTGTATGAGTGAGTGAGTGAATGGGTGAATGTGAGGCAAATTGTAAAGCGCTTTGGTGGCCATTGGGTCTGTGAAAGCGCGATATAAATGCAGTCCATTTACCATTTACCATTTATGCAAATGGGATTGAATTATGATGTCATACTGCTCGTGAGGTGAAGAGTCAGCGGGTTTTAGCTGGACACAGCTGACAAAACAGCCCGGACTGTGCTAATATACATGTGATTTATGGTGGATTAGACTGAGTGGAGAAGGGGGAGGCATATTATGTAGACTGAGTGGAGAAGGGGGATGCATATTATGTTTTGCTACCCAGAAAGCAACAGTGTCGGCCCACATCTGGTAGCCTACATGTGGATTCCACACGTACCAAATGTGGGCCGGATCTGGGCCGACACTATTGGTGCTTTTCCACTACTGGTATGGCTCAGTACGGTTCGGCACGGCACAGTTTGGCTCGCTTCGCTTTTCCACTGCGTGGTACGACTCGGCTCAGCACGGCATGGCTCGGCTCGCTTTAGCTCGGTTTGCTTTTCCACTGCAGTTAGTACCGCTTCAAAGTGGGTGGGATTATAGTCTGACCGTTATAGTTTATCCGCTTCTCTGCAACCAACGAGAGAAACGTCTGGACTTCGTCCACTGACCACGATTCAGCCATTTCTTTTTTGGAAGTTTTCTTTCTTTCTTTTTTCTTCAAGCAAGTCAAGCAAGTAGTTTTAAAACAGGTGCTACAGCGGTGGCTGTTACTGGCTATTTAAATCTAGCGGGTTTGATGTCTCGCAAATACAATGACGCTGGTAGTGACGATTCTGTCTGACCAATCAGTGATCTGCAGTGTGTTCACGTCACATTTTTGTATCGGTACGGTACGCTTGGAACCTCGACAGAAGTGGTAAGATTTTCCATGTAGTGGAAAAGCGCCAAAGCGTGCCGTACCGAGCCGAGCCGAGCCATACCGGACCATGCAGTGGAAAAGCGCCACAAGTGAGCCGTACCGAGCCGAGCCGTACCGTACCATGCAGTGGAAAAGCGCCATATGTTGCTGTCGGGGTAATGGCCTTATGATCCGCTTGGAGTAAAAAAATGTCATTAAGTCATTTAAAAGTGCTGTAAGCGGTTCTGTACTTGAGACTTTTTGCTAATTTCAACTATATGATATCCAAATTTTCACCTTCAAAAGATACTATGCCAGCAAATCTAGACTGCAAAAAATGATTTTCTTACAAATTTCCATTACAAATATATAAAAATTCTTAAATCAAGTTACAGAGAAGCAAAACAACTAAGTTTTGTTTTCTGATTTAAAAAAAAAAAAAGTAATTAAGTGAGTTTATGCTTAGAATAAGACAAAAATATCTGTCCCTGATAGATATAGATATTTGTATTTTTTGCGGTGTGATGTTGGCGATTATATAAAAATGATTCACATGTTAAGTGTTTCTGATTGATTAGGATTTCTGATTGGATAAAACTGTGGAGGCTCTGGCTCTCTTTCTACTGTTTACAGGGCTGTCATAAAGCCACTTGTGATTTCAAGTGATGTATATTTCAGATATCTGTCAGTAAAGATATTTTATATGTGATATTCCCAAATAATTCACTTATAATTCCCCAATAATTCACTACAGCACCTATAAACTAAGTGATAACTCAGGCTAGCTGCTAATCATTTGCTAATCGGATAAAAAAGGGTCAATGTTTTACCAAACTCTGCTAGAAGCTTTTCTAGCAGAGTTTGGTAAACCATTGACCCTTTTTTATCCGATTTCTGTTTCTTTAGGTTTTCTGTAACTCGTTTAAGTGAATATATCTACTATAACCAAAGCGGTGCTGTTTTATACTCAATTTGTAGCCTCTGTGGCTATGAAGCTATCCTTTAGCTGGTGCTTTATATGTTTTAAAGTCCCCTGTGGTGAAAATAATTTTTTTTTTATGTTGTTTATATGTCTATGTGGTGTTTTTACTGTGCTTTAAGACAAACCATGTGCAAATTCATAAGTCAACACCATTGCTGAGTATTGTCTCCTTAAAAAAAAAAAAAAAAAAAAAAGACTGGCATGGTGGGAGAAAACGCATATATATATACGATATGGACAGCAATAAAATCACTGCCTAGCACCTTTAATTGCTGAAATGACATGTTCCCATCTAAAACATTTACCATTTACTACTAAGGCATTAGTAAATACAGCTGTTTATACTGTATATATACTTTTATACTGTATGTTGCATCACAAAAACATTACACAGAATAAGCATAAAATATCTTTAATTAAAATAACCTCTCGGAAATAGTGGATCGGAGTATGGCTGAACAATATTGCTTAACATAGCCCTCGAATTCAAGTAAAGTACATTCAATTACACGTTACACAATATATTTCAAACCCGTTGTCTTTACAAATGCATAACATAAGTCGAGTGGTCCCAGTGCTTCAGAGGAGCTGATGGTGACCTCCTTGCTTAACCTGCGAGATTTAGCGATTGGCATGTCGGCTTCTATTAAGACTCATGTTGCTTGTCACGGCTTGTGCATTGCTGTTCAATACAGCTGAAAAGACGAATTTCACTCACAGTCCAAGATTAAAGCATAGCATTAAGCAAAACCCAACAAGGAACGGCACATTAAGGAACTACATCGGGGTTTCATGCAATTATTGCTATTTCTTTTAAGCTGAAATCTTGTGCATAGCAATTGCTATAAATGACATCGTTCAGAAACACACAAAAAGAATATGCAATTACAATGATCTGAGGCACAAATACTCCAAACCAAAGCTGCTCTGGTTGTACAGTATGTGATCGATTTTGTGCGTGATTTCCCAGCGTGCCCACATGGACATTTTGCCACGTGCGTTCATTTTGCAATGGGGATTTTCTAGATCTTGCAGCCTGCACAAAAAGTCCACTGGGTTTCATTAAGCTTCGGCACTGCTGAGACTGCCAGAGATTACAGCCTGGCAGGGAAGGACAGCAGGCACAGATGGCATGTGCTCAGGTATCGGCTGTAACCCTGCGTTTAATCTCAGATGCTGGCCTAATCTCTAGACCAATACAAATATACGTAAATACTCCATTTATGTATTAAATATCCAGTGTATGTATTGCTTCTCTTGTTTTGTTTGTCTATGCATCACATATGTATATCAGAGCATCATACAAAGTTGGCACACATTCTAATTCCAAATATTTTTGCATTTGCACTAATGAAGTAAACCAGAGAATGAAGCAGAAAGAAAGATAGAGGGGCAGTACAAACGCACGATTCCCTGCATAGCCTCTTTACTCTCCATACAGCGCATCTGTTGTGCTGGACAGCTGGCAGGTTGCCCAGCATCACTGCATGGAGGGTGAAGGTGCTTTGAGGCCCTTGGCCCGGGGCCCCGCGCTTGCAAATCCTACTAAGGAAGGGGGGAAGGGGTGGCGGGGTCTGGGGGATCCTTCACTTGAAAGAGGCACAGACTTTGCGATCTTTAAGAGGTTGAGGGGGGCGATAGTTATTCACCATGCAGCAGGCCTTCTCTTCCTCTGCGGTAAAAAGCAGAGATCGGAATTTTTTCATCTGTACAGGGAGAGAAAGAATGAGAAATGCTGTGAGTTTTCATCATCTGTTATTATTTATGTATTGAGGGAATGCTTATAGTTCTGCAAACTGGTTAAACATTAACTGTCCTAAATAAACTCATTTTCATTCGTTCTCACATTTTAAAGAGAATTTCATGTTAGTCAAGTTAGTTTTATATTCATAGAGGCTAGGAAATGAGGCATGGCGACCTGAGGTTATGTGCACATTGAACCAAAGTCGTGATGTTAACATTCGACAGGGTCGTGTTGATTTTCACAAAAGTGCTAGATGCCACAGAGGTTGAATAGAGAAGAAAATACAACTGACTATGACTATGGTTTTGTCTAGTTTGTCTGGTCTAACCGTCTCAGATGAGGGAAAATATCTAGCCGGTTTTAAAAATGGAAGGCCTGAAGACTAAAAAGATACCCAGACAACTACATAGTGTCGGCCCAGATCCGGGCCAAATCTGTGAATTCAACCGGATCTGGGCCGACACTGTTGCTGTCTGGGTAATATCAATCATGATTGGATGGTTTGTCATTGGATTGCATACATTTAGGTAGTTCACATGATTTTTTTTAAGTAGTGACTACAGTGTGCAATATATTTAATTTAAAACAAATTTTATAAATACATTATATAATTTTTATATTTATATATTTACACTGATTCATAATAACATGCAATACACTTTTAAAAATATATATATTTTGAATTTATAGGACTATTCACACTACTGTTCAAATGTTTAGGGTCAGTAAGATTTTATATTTTGAAAGAAGAAACGTTATTCATTTAAAATAACTGTTTTCTGTTTGAATATATATATTAAAAATTCAGGATTCTTTGAAAGTTCAAAAGTACAGCATTTATTTCAAATATTTCACTTTTTACCAATTTAATGGGTCCTTGCTCAAATAGCATTATTAATTTATCGAAAAAATTGAAAATCTTATTGATCCCAAACTTTTGAACAGTAGTGTAAGAGTTATTCGCAATTTTCACCAAAATATTTATAAGTTAAAAAGAAAATGTGATGTTCATATTTACCCATTTGCAAACCCTACCCAAATAGTCAAGTCAAGTCATCTTCATTTATATAGCGCTTTTAACAATGGAGATTGTTTCCAAGCAGCTTTACAGAGATAAACATACAATTTATGGTAACAGAGATTGTTTTGGCTTTATAGCGATTTTTTTTTTAGGACTAGTTTTCTTAAGAAGGTTATGTAAATTTGTGTTTCATTTATGTTACTTGTGATTTTAGTCCTGTTCAAATCAACAAGCTTGTGTTTTTGCTCACGATCTCAGTTAACTGTTTCTGTTAATAACTGTTAAGAGTCAACAAGGTATTCTCTGCTCTTTTAGAGATGCACATCCAAATCTCTGTGCGAGATGCCACACTTTAGTACTTAGCATGTGGCTTTTAAACTCCCCTCAATGCTTGTATTGCTGGTATAAATTGTGTCACCTGCGCAGAGCTAACGCTGATTGGCTGCTTGCAGACGATCCATGTGACGCTCTCGTACAGAGGGGGGGTTGTCAGAGACCCTGGGTACGTCCAGTACTCCAGAGATTTCGGGAGCAGGCAGGTTGGGTCAAAGTTTGTGAATGAGGTCTGCTTTCCCTGCAAGATAACAAACACACAATTGACCATGAATGAAGCAGAACTGATTTCAATCTTCAGCAAGAAATAAAAATGACAATAAAATGTAATTGAATTGGTAGACATGCCTTGGACTTGATAGCATCCATAGCATCCAGAACCTTCTGAAGCTTAGGATTGTCTTCACCGATCTGATGGAAAACAAAAACAAAAAACAATTTTTAAGCCTAATTTTGTGGGAAGGCATAATATTTAGAATATTAAAATATAGAAAACAGTAATATAGAGAAATATTATTACTTTAAATTGAAATAAAAATATAATTAATTCAAAATAACTAATTTCTATTTTAATATATTTTGAAATGCAATTTATTCCTGTGATCAAAGCTGAATTTTCAGCATCATTACTCCAGTCTTCAGTGTCACGTGATCCTTCAGAAATCATTCTAATATTTGCTGCTAAACAAACATTTCTGATTATTATAAATGTTGAAAACAGTTTTTTTTCATGGAAACTGTTACATTTTCTTTTAATAGATCTGATGAATAGAAAGTTTAAAAAGCAGAAATAGAAATTTGTGAAAAGGTTTGTGAAAAGAATGTGACTGAGGCATACTATTTTGTTTAATTTCTTTATATTATGTTTTATTATTACATTTGATTTATTTTATTTCCGTGCAAAAATATCATAAGCAAGTGCTGTGCCTGTTTAGTGAATTCGTTCTTGTGTTTGCAATTCTCACTATTAACTAGTAGCTTATTATCATGCACATTACTAGGATTTTGGCTGTATATTAGTACATATAAAGCATATATTAATGCCTTATTCTGCATGAACATATTCTACATCCATTAATCCTATACACCTAAACTTAACAACTAGGAGTTTGAATTAAAAGTTATAGTTGGTTACTAATGAGAATCGGACCCTAATCTAAAGTGAGACCAAAATGTAAGATTGCACACAAACCTTCAGAAAAACTCCGACCACAGCAAGACCATCAGGCTTATTGGCTGCTTCCCCAAAGCTGGGATATTTTGTGTTCCAGTGGACCAGATGGAGCTAAAGATGAATTTATTAGGTACATTAATATTTAATCATATATATAAAAAAATCTCCATGAACACATTTGCCCAGTATATGCTCAGGGATTCATACCTCGGCTGGGTAGCATTTCCCATCGACTGTGTGCTCGGAGCCTTTGTCGTCACTGGACCCCCAGTGGAAGTGGAACTGTTTGAGTCTGTATTTACCTGAGATCGGGCCGTCTGTCAGCACTATAGAGCAAACAAACACAGTGATATATGTTAAGTCTGTTGCATAATGTGTAGGTTAAATGGTTAAACTTGCTACACAGGTCTCTCCCTTTTCTTAAATAGCCTTCTTAAAACAAACCATTCACTGCTTAGCAGCTTTAATGCAATCTTGTGTGTACATGTGTGATTTCCCACAACTCTGAAAAGAAGCTGTCACTGGTGAGTGAGCTGAGGTGTTGCACTGATATTTTTTACACATCAGTTTAATTTTAGGCTTTACACTTGCTTAGACATGCAATGCAATAGACTATAACCTATAAATAAGCATAACCTATAAAATTGTGTTTGCAAACTATCTATTAAAAGTTACAACATTACAGAATGCTGTTGTAAATTAATATTTAACTATGTAGTAGGAGCAAAAGCCAACTTTCAAAATGCTTCCAGAAAGAGCACATATTCAATAGTGTGCAGAAAAAGTTGCTTTAAAGTTTTAAGTACAATCCACTCGGATGTTTCAGTCATTTTAACTGAAATTACATTAAAACATGAGTTTAATATTTTATAACTTATAAAAATATTTTTGAAAATTACTTAAATTATTTTTAATGAGTTAAAGCAAAGTAAAAACATAGTTGTCATATTGACCATATCATTTTTTTTACAGTGAATATTCAGCAATAATACTCTGGGATTACATTATTATTGTAAGTTTTCCTTCTTAGTATCTAGGTTAACACTACATTCGTTTCAGGAACACTCTGACTAAGTTAAGCTAATGATTAATACAAGAATAGGCTGGCAATTCATTATAAGAAACAACAAAGAGGTCACGAACTTGAGCTGTCGTTATCATCGGCGAAGGTCACTTGGAAAGAGTGTCCATTATTCAGGATGTCCAGTGAAGTGGTGGGGTCATACTTCAGTTTCAGCGGCTTCAGTGTAGCATCATAAGACGCTCCACTGGTTTGAATGTCTATTGGAGACTGGCGAGGTCCATTAGCAATGGGGAAGTTTTCACACCATTTCTGAGGTCCTGCAGTGGAAGGTGACACAGAGGTTAAACAGTGCTATTCTATGCATCTGGCACAAAAATACATTTACAGTGCATGAAATGATATTCATAAAACAAATAATACACATTTGAGCAGCATCCATCCTTAGATTACTAAATGTATTTTTCAATGGTTGCTTTTTAAACCACAACAGTTGCTTAATATCTTTTACATCTTTGCTGGAGGGAATTAAAAGCCTTTATATGAAAGAAGAAGAAAAAGGAAATTTGAAAATAGGCATTTGAATAAACATATTTAAGGGCAAACACGTGCATTTGAATTGCAGCGTCCAAAGTATTATCTGCATTTGGGATGAAATAAAAAATCTTCATTAGTTTGAAGAAGAAAAAATATATAGGCCAGTTCTACAAAATACCGATTTATATGCATTTATTTATGCATATAGTAGGCTATACGTGACATCTGTACATTCTGTACTTGTCACATATAGTGCTGAATGTGCAGTAGACAAGGTGATCATGTCTTAGTTGCAAAGAGGGCAAATGCAGTTAATGAGGCATAATATGATTAATTTTACATGTTATATTTAAATAGCCTATGAAATATGAATCTGAAAAATCCAAATCGCGTGTGAGATCTTAGCCTACCGTTATGTAAAATGTAAATGTAAAAAAAAAAAAAGTAAATGTAAATGTACCGTTGTGGTCTGCGTATCCCCATCCGTGAGACATTATGACAGCTGTGCCGCGGTTCTCTCAAGTGTCCTCAAGTGTCCTAAAGCAGTGTAAGTGTCCTCAGACAGAGAAGCTGTAGGTTTATATAGCGCCTTTCTGGACGCAGTTTGTTCACATGACCGTATATTAAATATGTGATCAGCAGGAGGAGCTAGAGAAGAGATCGATATTGCGCGCGCTCACTCTTTCGGAATGCGCGCTCGCATCGGAGGGAATATAGGAGTCCGTTTGCTTTGATCTACGGATCCATTCGACAGACATTCTTAACATTCTGTGATTGCGTAATCAGATACTTGTGGCACGCCAGGTTCTGATGACGTAAAGTGACAGTGTGATACAGTAATGTCAATGAGTGCAGTAAATGAATCATCCCTCCATCAGATCCTCCAGCAGAGAGAATGAATGGCGGGTTTACGCAACACTCTGCTACTACAGCTAATATTTGACGCTTTACAAAGAAATACCTTATGACTGAAAACAGAAATTCTTTTTAAAATGTGCTACAGTCAGTGTGTGTAGCCTAATGAAATGATGAACATATAGACTAGCGTAGGCTACTACCATATTGTATTTAGGCTATAGTGTCACAAATGTAACACAAACACCAACAGATAGGCTACTAGCCAGTAATTCGTGTATTTATTATTATCATTATCAATATTATTATTATTATTATAGGCTCTACAATAAAATAAAGGGATAAAAATAAAATAAAAAAGTAACCTTTTTTTTACAATTTAGTTTTTAATTCGTAGATTTTAAATTATTATTATGATTGTAGTACTGGAAAATAGCTTGCAATTTATGTAAATAGTAAAACCGATGTTATTTTAGTCGAGATGTTTTTAAATACCATTTGTAAATGTTGCTATGTGCATTGATAAAGTTACTATGTTTTGGATTTGATTGCCATCTCGTGGTCGAGACTCGAAACTACGCTCGACCTCAAAATGTGAATAAATGCACAAATGTATCCTGTTTGATTATTAAAAAAAAGTAGGCTAAATGTCTAAACCAAATATATGTTTAGAATTTGTATAGGCCTAGATTAATGCTACATATAAGGCCTATGTGTACATTTTCATGAACAATAAACAATAAATGCATATTACTTTATAGATATTTTAGAAATTGTAAGATATTACAATCTATCTGAATCTACCACACAACTTATTTTCAGTCTTATGGCTGAGCCTGCCTGAGAGTTTTGTGTGAATTTACGAATACAGATTTGAAAAGCTGAACTGACAAATAAAGTGTAATTTCGCAGTACTTTGTTTGTTCCAATAGTTTAATTTCAATCAATCGTGGCCTTCTCTTTAGTGTTCGCGAACTCTCCATATCACTAGATGGCGCTAATGAACATTTACACTGCCGGGAAAGCACAGAAGCCACAGCACACATGTGGTTGGAGGAACGAGCTGTTGATGGGTTGATAGTTGAAACTGCGTATACCTGTTTATGGAATAGAGGCGACGTTTTTATATGTAGTTGAATTTGTTTCTTTAGACACGTTTACTTACAAATCTAGCCACATATTGGTATCCGTCTGCTGTTCATATTTGGACCTCTCATTTAACTGGGATTTAGACGTCCAGATTGCGGCTTCATTGAGTTGAGGATTCACCAGAAAGTCTACAGGCTTCAAGATAAACATGGCCAAAAATAAACAGAGAGGTAAAAAACAGCAGAATGTATTTCAGGTTGCGAACAAACAGTCAAAACCCAAGACCAAAGCGAAACCTGTCAAGACCTCTCTGAAACATGTAAGTTCATGTTTTGTTTACATTATTAATGTGTTTTTAGGACTGGGCAGTTTTGAGATTTTTGCGTTGAATATGTTGACATTCTCCCCCTAGATAAACACTGTGAGGAATGAAAAAGTGGAGAGCTTAAATCAAATGTTCACAGAAGTACAGCAAGATGTAAGAAATATATCAAAACCCACGACTAGTGAATCCAAAAAAGGACAGAAGGTAAAAAATCTATATATTTTTTGCAGCTGTAAAATTGCTATGTTTCTATACACTTTTTGTAAAGTGTGCTGGTGTTGTGTTGGTGTCTGAAATGCCAGTTGTCTGTTTTATCTAATGTAATGACATGCATGCCTTATGTGTCAGTATGCTGTGTGTAGATTGTATAAGATCTCATGTAAACTGTATATTTCAGGTGGTCAGAGAAGCTCCACGGGAAGCTGTCAATGTGGATGGCGCTGCACAGCTTTTCTCTCAACTCTAGAAAAACATTTTTACATACAAAAAATGGACTCTGGACTAATCAGAGAAACTTTATATACCATATAAGTTATAACAAAAACAGTCCATCATGCCTGCAAGTCATCAATGTAATTTTTTTAATGATTATACTTGCAGTCTTATTCTGTATGTGAATCGCACAGCCACGCTTAATTCAATATATATATAGGTTTGGAAGTTTTGGGAGTTGAATATTGTCTTTGCTTGCTGAAGCATAAAGAGCAAAGTCATTAAAGACTGAATATCAATCAGAGCACTTTTGTAACAATGTTTTTTTTTCTGTTGTATTGAGTCAGCTCTAACGGGCTTTATATATTCTTCGGATCGATGTTTGAACCTGTGACCCACTTGCAAGAGGGATGGCCACTCGAGTTGCTGGCATTTAGAACATTAGCTGGTGTTTTATTTGAATTAGAGGTCAGGCTTTTTTGAGTTCTCAGCACTAAAACAGCATTTCGGAGCTTCATTGTGAATTGGCTTACTAGTCAGCTATTTCAGCAACAAACGTCAATTCTGTCATCTTTTCTCTGCCTCATGATATTTCAAAGTTTTGCAGAAGGTATGGTTTTACAAAAATGGAGGTGAATTCATTTTTGGGGGAACCTTTCCTTTAATTCCTGTATGCAAAATTTGTTGAGAAATTTGAGAACTTTTTGAGAACTAATTAAACCAATGAGTGAGACATGTGCTTGTGTATGTGTATTATATGTACACTACAATGCTATGGTTTAAGCCATCCTTAAAAATATTTTGGTTTGAAGCAAAAATAAAAAAGGGTCGGTAGGTAGGTCTATATTTTTTTTTTCTAGATTCAATGTAAAAAAAAAAGGATAATTTTGGTCATGGTGATTACGTCGGTATGAATTTAAACAAATTTGCATATCGTGACGTCACTGACTGGGTCTTCAACCCATGCCTTCGGGCGCACCATTGCGAACCTCATTCTGATACAGGTTATAGACCACAAACAATTTGAAATCTTTGTAAAAAAAAAAACATATTTATTGCATTAATTCCAGCTGCATTCATTTGGGGAAAAAAAGGCAGAATAAAAAAAAAGGAGCCACTAGATTTCAATGAAAGTGTTTTTTCAGAGGGAAACAAATAAATTAAAATGACTAATCTCACCAGCGCCGCGCTGACCAATAAAACAGCGCGTTTGGCACTATTCGTTTACATTTGACCCATACTGTTACAAGCCCCCTTTCTGGTCTAGGGGCAGGAAAGGAGGGTAACAAAAAGTTGCAGGGAGAGAGTGAGAGATTTGACCCATAAACATCTGCTATTATTAACGGAAATCAGTGAGGTCAAATGGCTAGGCGCATTGTAGGAAACTATAGGCCGATTAAGTAGTCCTGCATATTATGGAATGGTCGATTTTCTTTTGTGCAATTTAGTACATTTCGGTATGGGATGTGCTGTTTTATTGGTCAGCGCGGCGCGAACTATTCTCACCAGCGCCGCGCTGACCAATAAAACAGCACATCCCATACCGAAATGAACTAAATTGCACAAAAGAAAATCGACCATTCCATTGGCTGGCGCAAGCAAACACTTCTCCCTGCGCTGTCGAGTCTGTCGCGACTCGCGCGGCTCGGTTCCATTGAGCCACGCAGATTACAAGTCAGCGCAGCACGAACTCAGTAACACACCGCGCCGTTTCGTCCCCCTTTCGGTGTGTTTGGCTTCCCACACTTATGTGTGTTTGTTTGTCAGAGCCTGCAGTTGCTGTGTGACGCGCGTTCGCGGTGGGCATATCGTGACGAGCTAGACGCGCTCCGAGAAAAGGCCGTTAACATTAATGGTGTATTCACAACGAACGCGAATAGAGCGTCAAATACGCGTCTATCGCGTCTAGTTAGACGCTTGAACATTCGCTCGAGTTCAAATTTTTCAACTTGCGCGGAAGACATTCGCGGCAAACGCGTCGCCCAATTCGCGTCATTCGCAACGCCCGGCGCGAGTGATGCGTCTATTCGCGTCTTTACATTGACTTTGTATGTAATCTACTCGCGCAAATAATTAAATTCGCGTTCAACATGACATCATGACTTTGCGTAAACATACACGCCACTTTCAATTCAAGTGGCGTGTTATCTATAGCCTCGTGAGACCATCCTGATCTCGCGAGCTTTCAAGGTTTCACTCGCAGATCAGTCTGGATACTTTCCGTTAAAGAAAATTTGGGAGCAGTTCACCAAACGAACGTCCAATCAGCGTTGGCTTTGAGGCGGGTTGAGGTGTGACGCAACGAGAAGCGCGACAGTTCAGTCCAAAGAACATGTCGGCTTCAGCGGATGAAACTAGCATCAGCGTGGCTATCGAGCAAGTTTTATCGGAATTACAGAGTATTTCTTCACTGAAAGAAGAGCAAAACACTGCTCTGGAGGCTTTTCTCAGAGGAAAAGATACGCTCTGTTAGTACGTCATATACTTCGTTGATCTGATTAGTTGATTTGGCCCGTCTATCACCAACATAGGCCAATCAGCTAACCAGTATTTTCGCCCTTACCAAAACTACTTCAACGGAAGGTTTCCAGATGGATATGCGGAGCAAATCCATCTGGCGGAGTCAGGTTATGTTATCTATACGCATTTTGAAATATCCGCGTGTATGTCCACGCCGAAATCTTTTGCGTGTATGTCTACGCCATTAAATGTCCGAGTGATTCCGCGTGTATGTCTACGCCGTTAAATGTCCGAGCGAAACGAAGCAAAATCTATACATCTGTGGAGCGATATTTCTTTTCCTAGGATGGTAGGAGAAGACTCATAAATGGTATTAACCCCAGTGACGGGTAGGTTTAGGGACGGGGTTGGGGTAGGTCATATATTTATATATGCATAATACAGTAATATAACGTTAAGTCAAAGGCGTTGATAAACACGCTGAAAAGCGATTATGCGTGTTGATAGCACGCCAAAAATGGAAATACGAATTGGCGTGTCATACATACGCCATTTCATGAGATCGAATTTCGAATAATGAGCGACTAAATGTAGGCTCATACAGCATAGCTGTCAACCCTCCCGTTTTTTCCGGGTTTCTCGCGTATTTTAGCTCTTTTCCCGCTGTCTTCCCGTTTTAGTATTTTCCCGTAAAATATCCCGTATTTTTACGCTCTGATTGTGTTAACTCAGACCACGCAACTATCTGTGTGGCTTGCACTTGGGTTGCTGGACTTGCGCACCCAACGTCATTTTTGCCGCGCGCACCTTCGCGCTCGTGCGGAGCGTCGAGTATAAACAAGGCTTGATTCCGGGAAATCTCCCTTATTTTCAATGTTCAATGTTGACAGCTATGTCATACAGACAGGGGCGTAGCAACCGGGGGGGACACGTCCCCCCCACTTTTAGAAACAGGTGATTCTGTCCCCCGCATTTTTTTTTACTCAGCGCCAATATTTCCGCCCGTGTTCTCTGATTTGTTACTTAGACTTGAGTGAGCTAACATTCAGCCAATCACAGCGCGAAGCATCTATTGGGCGCGTCTGCCATGAGCTTCAAATCTTTTGTTGCTCTTGCGAATTTTCGTGTTTGTTTAGTCGCTTTGCTGTTTGGCCGTCTAATGCACCCCAGAAAAAAAGCAGAGGACTACATCATTTTTTTCAAACACACACTGTTACAGTATGTCGCGATGACATGAATCACACGTAAAGTTTCCTTGTTATGATTTAACCTACTGTAACGCAGTAAGACGTGTAAGACAACAGAACCCGTATGGGTTCACGTCGCGCCGGATTGTGCCGAGTGTGTGTTAAATGCTCTCCTACTTGTTGCTTTGGATAAAAGCGTCTGTTAAATGAGACATAACAGATTATTCCCAGCAGGCACACAACGTCATAAGACGTTGATATTTGGTTAAATTTTGGTTGCGACGTCGGGTGACCAAAATTCAATGTAAATTCAACATGTCAATGTTAAATTGATGTCCAATACCGAATACATTGATTTAGGTTTTATTGATATATTTTTATAAAATGTCTGTTGTATAAAATTACTGTAGGCTAGATGTAATCTGTTCTGTACTCATTGAACACTTTTTTTTTGGTCCAACTGTTAAGAAGTAAGATAAAAGTTATTGTTCAAGTGTAGTTTAACTGAAATATTGCAAATATCATAAAATATCTTTTATTTCATAAAAATAAAGTATAGATGTCCACAGTTGTCTGAAAGTCCCAATTAAGTCCTGCAATATTTTTTTATTTCGAGTATGATTTCACAAAAATAGGTTGCTGTAAACTATCATGGCATGTTCCCAAAATTGGCACTAGGGTGCTGTAAAATGCCAATTGCTATTCCATCTAGAATTTATTATTATGAACATCACCTTTCAGTCCCTCCAGAAAAACGCGATTATGCGATCGCATGATTCAATGCATAATCAGCCAAAGTCCGCATATTTATGCAGGGGCATTTTTTCAAATACGCCGTATAAATTGCCGATTTCCACGCAAAATATGCGGGGCTTGTATGATTTCATAATCCCCGCATTTTTGTTGCAAAAAAAAAGTCACATATATCTTAGCAGAAAGTTGAAAAATGTTGCGTTTGCTTCGATCACACGAGAGCAGCCGTTTCCCCCGGTTGGCATGGGAACGTTATAAAGTGACGTAATTACTCGACATGAACATCATTGGGAAAAAAAATGGGGAAAAAAGCTGTAAAACAGCAAACATTTTTTTCCTATTTTATTTATTCATTTTTACAGAAGTTGTAGCATATTCCTTTTGTAAAGCTACAGAACTTGTTTGACTCATCAATGTTTTGTAAGTTTGAGCCATGTGTTTATTAAGGTCTGACTCTGAAATAAAACAAGATTAAATATTCCAGCACTTTCTGTGATGTAGTATGTTTGCTTATCATAGGAAGTAATAAGAAATAGCTCTTTACATTAAGGTAGTAGCCTAGTGAGAACAGGGTGTTGGGGAATCACTTTTTCTCTCTTTTTCATCAAACCGCAGTTTTTGCAAGTTCCCGCAATTTCATCACATAAAATTGCAAATATCCTGCATATTTCATCGCCGCATAATCAAGGATTTTTGCCCGCAACAATCACAAAAAAACTCCGCATTTTTCTGGAAGGACTGACCTTTGGGTCACATCACCACACCATTTTGTCCCCCCCACTTTTATAATGGCTGCTACGCCCCTGCATACAGACGTATTTCACAAGCAGCCGCGCCGCAGCCATCATCACCGAGCGCGAACCATTGACAGTGAATGAAGCGAATGAAGCAGGCCATAG